TGTGACTACTCTCCACCAAAAGTATTGTGCCATATATATTGGAGCAGCTAGCTCTCTCTGTTATTTTTGCTCAATCCTAACTTTCGAGAATTAGCAGGATCTAAAAGAATAACACCAGCATGGGAAGGAAGGGGAAGAGTGGGAAGTGTGTGAAGGAGGCAAGTACCTATTGGAAATACATTTTCAGTGTAAGAAAATGTTAACTTCCGATACAGTCTTACCTCCTTTCACACAAATCTAGAATCCCACACTGCAAAGTAGGAGGAGCAGATGTAGGCAGAAAGTGACCACCCATAATGAACGGGTGTGTTCCGAGATGAATTGAAGCACACGTGTAGTAGGGCACTACTTCTGGAACAGGTATGCTCTTTACCCTTGAAGAAGGAAATGAACCTGATATGGGTGGAAAAAAAGGATGTGCAGAAATGTAATTTGTTCTGAGAGGTGCAATTCATAGTAAAAATAAAACACCTGATGTACCCATGGAGATACTCAACCTCACCCATACAGACAAGACTGCACAACTCATCCTTGGTATTAGGTAGTTGAGGATCAATCAGATAAAAACAAATATAGAGGAATATAAACATTGTGGCTAGGACATGTGGACCATGTTACATATACACATAAATCCAAACCATAAGTAAATACATCAAACAACTGGAATTATGCAGAGGAAGTTGGCATGCAGCTAAAACTGGACAAACATACAAAATCACCACAGGAGCAAGAAGTACAACAAACCAAATTCGTTGCCTCAATTCAATCATAAGAACAGAACAATATCTGTAACAGGTATTAAGAGCAGAAATCTTAACTCACACAACCATAAATATAAGGAAGACACATCCTGAATCTGGAATTATGAGGAGAATATGGAACATTCGCTCAACCATAGGAACAGCGTAAGTACGTCCTGTTACCAGTATTACAAGGCAGACCAAGACCGTAGGAGCAGAAAAGGAACCACCTGCAACTGAAATTAATGAGAAGGAGGGCCTCTACTGCAAACAACCATAGGAACAAGGAAAACACCCACCGAAGTGAGAGATAGGACTCCATAGTGAAGTGAGAAGGGTGCAGAAAATAATTCAACCAGGACCACAAAGAGAAAGGAATAAAACCCCAGTTGTATAAGGCACACCTGTTCAATAGCCTTTTTGAGAAACAGGTCATGGACAGCCTTGGTAAGATGACAGAGATGTAAAATCCCATGGAGGAGGGAAGGAAATAAGGGAAATGGAGATTGGAACTGAAAGCAGAAACCTCCAAACAGAGCCCATAAAACAAATGGATATGTCGTGAAATGCTGCCACATGACAGAAAAAAAGTGGAGCAATCTAGCCCCCACCCATTCAGAAACCTCCACAGCATCACTTATAATCCTTGCATTAGTTAGCCTAGGTATGTAACTAACAAGGATAGGGTCAGAGGTGCCAGAAAGAAGGCATGGGCCTGGGCAAAAAAGGACAGGAAACATGGATGGGCAACTCATGGGAAGAAGGGAGAAGGATAAAACAAGAAATAATGTAATCTAGCCACATCAATCCTGGATTTCAAGGAATCAGGACAACCAACAAATACAGTATTTTGTAGGAAGAGGGCCTGACACAGATCCACAGGGACACAAAAGGCCTCTGACAATAATTTGAGAGAAGACAGGTAAAGTAAAATGGAGGAGACAGAAAGGCAAATTCTTGAAAATTGAGCCAGATTAAAATGAACACTCACTCCTGGATTCGAACCCCAAAGAAAAAGTAGAGAATCCAATTGTTTAGAATCCAAATAATGATCTGAAGAGCGATGGTACACCAAAGCATATTGGTCTGACAAGCAAGGGGGACAGCACCTGAATAAAGCTGGTGCAAAAGTCTTTGAGCATGAACCCTAATGTTGGGTGAAGAGGGAAAAAAGAAAATTCAGAAGAAGGAATTTCACCAAATAAAAAAGGGAGGGCATCATAGGCAAAAGAGAAAACATGTGAAATACCACATATCTGATTAGCAAACTGTAAAAAAAGGGGAAAAAGGACAAATCTCTTGAAGAGGTGTAGATCGTGACTGATCAAAATAGGAAGGTGCCAGAAAAAGACTCCAAACTGTCTTCTCCTTGATCATATTGAAAAGAAGGAGAAATCAGCAGCTAAACATATGAATATAGCTCCCTACGAATTAAGGCTTGTACCTCCTTTGCAGATAAAGTCATACCAGTAGCATTATCGACTCTAACGGGAACTTCTGTATTCGATACAGTGAACCTCAAATTCATACTAAGTTCACTTAGAATTTGGGAATAAAAAACAAATGCAAAAAAAATTGTTAAAACAACTGAATGCAAATAAAGAAACTGAAAAGTGTTTTGAAAAAAAAATTTTTAAATGGCAAAGATACTCAATCAGAAACATTAGCTACACACATCTAAACAATGTAGTGTCAACTGAAAAAATTAACACTGAGCAGGAATAGCAGAAGGAGTTTGCTGTGCCAATATAGGTGGTGCAATACTATTGGTGGAGAGTAGTCACATGCTATGTACATGTTCACAAGTGGTGTAAAATTGGTGAGGTATAAAGACTGGTGCACTGAGCGTGAAAATTTTTTCTTTAGAAATGCTTAGAGGGCAGAAAGAAGATTGTGACAACTTTGTGTGAGAGGGGGTAAGACCGTATCTGAAGATGTTTCCATCTTGTTGTGTAAGCCTACCGGTGATGTGCTGATGAAATTTGTCTATTTACCTACCACCCATCAGCTGCTTAATTTTTGAAGGAGTTCCTACTGAAACATAAAGTATTACACCTTTCATACACCCAATATTATGTTCCAAAGTGCTCACCATCTCTCTGTAATTTTCAACACCTTCCTTTAACTTATCCAATAAATTTAAATAGACTCAACTAGTGGTCTTACTTGACTGAACACCAGATTATCCCTTCTGAATTCCACAACTTAACACCTAAATTTCATTATGAACATCTAACATGAGGCATTTAATTAAAGTTGTTTTAGTGCTGTTAAAGTATATGTGTAGTGATTTAGCTGCTGCATCTGTTGCACCTAGTTAAAAAATTGTTGCTTCAACAGAAGAATATCATTAACTACACTTCTCCTGTTCAACCATCTCACAATGTGTGTTTTTTTTATTTGCAATTCTTTGTCATTGAAAATGCTCTGAAAGTTATGCAATTTTGCACTTCGTATTGCAGAGCTGCTGCAGAAATAATCAAACTGTTGAATCTTAATCTGAAGGCTTCAAGTTGTTAAATGTTTTTGATGGCATTGACACACTGAATACGTATTGGTTTGTTTTGAATTTTGCACAAATCTACACAAGTGCTATCTGTGCTAGCCATCCCTAATTTAGCAGTGAAAGACTAGAGGGGAGGCAGCTAGTTATCACCACCCACTGTTAACTCTTGGACTACTCTTTTACAAACGAATTATAATGCCCCCATGGCTGAAAGGGTGAGCATGTTTGGTGATGGGGAATCAAATCTACAATCCTCAGATTGAGAGCTGATTGCCTTAACCCTCCAGGCCATGATAGGCCCTCTGAGTACATATAACCTAACTAAGACACACACACACACACACACACAAAAAAAAGGGAAATGAGGCCAGCAGAATCATCATCAAAATTAGGGATAGCACTGTAGCAGACAATGCCAGTTTTCCGGAATCTGGTCAATTAAGCGTGAGCCAAACATCAACTTCCATCAGAAACAAAAGAAACTTGCTAATGTTAGGCAAATTAATCATTTACACAATTGTTTACCCACCAAAAATATAAGTATACAATGTCACAAACTCATTGAAAAATCAGGGCTGACACTGCAGTTACAATGTTACCATGCACACTAAGGATAAAGTATCTAAGTAAGGCCTCTAACTAAAGTTATTCAAATACCGATAGTGTCAGAAATATTTGCATCAGAAAGAACATTACAGAAAAGTTAACAGAATAACTGTCGATAAGAAAATCTAAATTACAGTGGGAAATCAGAGCTTGTGTAAGAACCACATACAGTTGTGAAGTAAGTCACATGGAAGGTGAGAGAATGAAGTGTTACGGGTGAGTGCTACATTCTCTGCGACATGTAAATGACATTCAGAAAATTTTAGTAACATACTTTGTTGACAGCATGAGTTCAAAGTCAACAAAAAAAGGTTTTCGGTATTTCGTAATTAATCTTACCCGATTTTAATGTTAAAAATACAATCTAAATTTTTGTACAGCTTATTTAAGATATAGACACTATTTTGCAGGTTAAAACTCTTTAAACATCACATGAGATCATATTCAAATTGGTCATTTCACTTCAGAATGAACCCTTTTAAAAAGGTGTTTGTTGCTTATTACCAGTTGATTTTTTCACATTTATAAAAATGTTTTGTTCGTAATTAAAATGTTAAGCAACTCAAATATTCATTTCTGCTAATTTTCTTATCATATTTCAACAGATAAAAGTTTTAATAAGCATAAGACAAAATAATTAAATGCACACTTAAAATTGGCTAAAAGCGACTATAAATTATTTTTCACTGTATAAATATAGCATTGGACACATAATATCAACTAAATTGGCTAAATTATTTTATTCTAGGTGTCAATATGTACAATTATTTTTCTTGTCAACTTCAGAACATAAAAATGTTTCAGAAGATAGAGAATCATTTATAGAATGAAAAAAAAAAGATACAATGCCTCATATTTTTCAATTTCAGATCCTAGTATGTATCAAAGTCTTATATCACCATCTTGTAGCATTTTAACTGCTAATATTACGTTTCAAAGGATGGAAATAAAAGAAAATCAACGTACTAGCCATCAGAATGTTTTACTCCCATGCTTTAATACCCAGAACTTGTCAACAATGGCATTATAGTTAAGGAATTCAAGCACATTAAAATGTTACGCTAGCCTTCTAATTAACACTAAAAATTAGTTTAATCTTTTAATATAATACAACAGTAACAACCACTGAAAGATTCATCTCATTTTACCATTTTTAACCTGTTCTAACTCTTCCTTCAGAGACAAGGTTTCATTGTTTAGGTTACTTGCACATTCATCATCCAATGATTTAGTCTAAAAGGTTATAAAAAAGATGACATACAGCAATATCATACTCAAAAATTAAGTAAATACACAACAATATTTTAAATATTACAACTCCTCCATACTTTTAACTTAACAATTTCTTCTTGCAAATGTGTGAAGTACTGTTTTTTTTTATTAACCACTGGTATAATTAAACTTTGTGACATTTTAAGTTGATTTGTTCTCACTTTTGTTCCATGTATCACAGTCAACATGTCATAGGGCACATTGACTCTTTGTGCAATACATAAAGAATAAAATGAAGAAAAAACTTTTCCTCAATGGGCTGGTTTTATGCTAAGGACTGAATTTATGTTCGACTACAACAGCTTTTTAAATGATTATTCAATTACATAAATTTTTATTTTCCCAACAATTACACATTATTCTAGCAGTTAAGTGTCTGATAATAAAAACGTCAAAACATGTGGATGTATTGAACCATTTTTATCAAGTTATGAAAAATATTTAATATATGTGGAAAATACTATTTGTTAAGTAGTTTTAAACTAGTTTAAGCACCTCTTGCAAAGCATCACAAGAAATATGTTTGAATTTACTTCCAGGTACTCTCAATGAAAAACAAGAAACCTCTTGCAGAAGTTTATGAATTAATTTGATATAAATATCAGTTTTAAAACAGAAACCAAAAATAACAACCTGACGTTCCTTTTCTTGCATTAGCCTTTCAGCTGTCTCAGTTGCTCTTCTTGCTTGAAGTACTGAAGCTTCACATTGAGCAGCAAGCGTAGCTTGGTTCAGGATTAGACTAACAAGTCGACGAATAACACTGGAGAAAGACCAAAACCTAACTGTTTCAAAGAAACTTTATATTCAACATTTTTTTTGGCTCTTGTTTTGGACAGAGATCAAACGTAATTGAAGAACAATGAAAATAATTGAATATGAAATCTATTAAATTTCTGTCATTGCATTTGTCCTTTAAAGACAGAAAACAATGAAACTAATCATTCAATTTATTATTTAAGAAAGAATGAGAAACTGTATTTATTAACACATCATCCTAGTGTAATCATCCCAACTCTTCCATTCAACTTCTGATTATTCCTTTTAATCATGGTAAGTTTTTATCCAACACTAACTACATGACAGAACAGTGGTTCCCAACCTATTTCACTCCATGGAATGACACAACTTTAGTAAAACGTTTATGGGCTGTTAGGAGTACAGTGTTGTTTCATAACTTACCTTTCTTTGAAGAAGCTTTAAAATAAAAATTATGAAGACCATTTATTTTACAATGAACATTTTTTTGCCTATTCCTAATATATGTATCTATACTAATAAAACAGCCTCTGCGTGTGTTTGTGTATCAGTCAGTGAGTGCCATAGCTCCAACAGGAAAGAACCTGTAGATCTGAAACTTTGCATGCATACTAAGAAAATTCTGAGGGTGTGCACCTGGGTATTTTTTTTTTAAATGTTGGCCAATTTTTTGGCCTTTAACTTTGCCCTATAGCCCTTAAGCCATAAAAAGAGAGAAGTATATGCTGCCATCTGTGATAAAAGTGTTAGAATTGATGTTATTGACAGAAATGATTATATTTAAATGTTTGTTTGTTTGTATTTATGATTTTCAAATTGATAAAAAGCTTTTTTAGGAATAAAAGTTGTTATTACCTGTGCAGGGAAAAACAAATTTGAAATAAGCTCAAATTTGTTTTTACACTGCACGGGAAATAATGATCTTTATTAAAAACGATTTTTAAAAAATTTGAAAGAGATACGAATTATGCAAAACTTTCTTCAATCATTTTACAGAAATTATTTGTGAACAAGCAGTGCAGCTGTCAGTTTCACAAAAAGGGAGAGGAAAGGAAACGCCTACTCAGGAAAAGTATCACAAAAGGTAAGCGATATTTTCTATCAGGCTTAACTAGCCCCTAATAAATGTTGTTTAAGACTCATAACATAGATAAATTAATATGTAGAATTATACCTGAACTTTTATCTACATTAAAATACTTTTATTTGTGTGCTTTTAGCCCTCTTACCTGGGCCTTCGTCAGGCAACAATGTACTGAGCAATAAAAATTCATGAATTGTGGAAAATCCGTTTCAAAATAGGTATCTAGGCAACAGTCGTAACAATAACTGACATCTGGTATTCAATTTATTAAATACATAGAATTATGATGAATATACAATATTGTTGATTGCTTCGATATAATAAACATAAGGAAAATACAATTATAGGTATCATGTGGAGAAATAATAAGGAATTTTTCGTACTTCAAATAATACATTGTAAAATTAAAGGTTTAATTTTACATCGAAACCACATAGATACTGTGTTTGTGTAAGTTTATAAATATTGTCTTTGATTTTAAATTATAAAGTAAGTTGAGTAGTTTGGCTAGCTGAGAGAGTGACTGATTATACTAATTAAATAGAGGGCTGAACAAGAGTTTAGGTTTTATTTTGTATAACGTTTTTTTAAAAACCTGTTGTGACAAAACTGTTACTGTTTACTTTTTTATTTTTAAAAACACACATAAAAGTGTTAGAATTCATATTATTAGCAGAAATGATTATACTTTAATGTTTGTTCATACTAATTTCATATTCACAGATTGCCTGAAAACATCGTCTTTCTTTTCAGTATTAGTACCTTTATGCTTTCGACATGTATTGTTACATGAAAAGCGAAATTTTGATCCTATCTGTTTTAAAATAGTTAAACATCAGCCCTCTTTTCAGGTAATACTTAGGCAATGCTGGGTAAAGATGGCTAGTAAATTATTCTCTGTTTGCCATTTCCATTGCCAGTGATGTGTTTCACTCAATCCTGAGTTCATCAGGTTGACTGGGACACAACAAACACAGTAGTGGATGGAACATCATTTATACAAGTCATTTTTTACAACAATTGGTATGGTTTGAATGCCTTTTTCAATGTGATTGAAATACTATTATTATGCTCTACTAATTGTTAAAAGAATTTAAGGGACTAAATGTACAATTCAGTGTTAAAAAATATAATACACGTAATACTAACATCTAATGATATTTAAACTAATATAATTTTTCAACTTATTCTATCTAAAATTCCTTTGTAGGATTAAACTCTTGCTGTTTACCATATGAAATCAGAAATACTGTCTACTTCAAAAATCACACAACATACTTATTCAGTAAACTAAATACTGTCAAACTTCTTTCACAATCACACACACACAATGAATTTATTAAAGATTCTATTATTAAAAAATAAAGCTAATGTACTAGTTCAATTTCCAATCATTATCAATATATTTAAGATTAATTCATGTTTTTTGCCCACATTATTATCAATATTTTTAAGACTAAATTCATGTTCTTTGGCCACATCATTATCAATACATTTAAGAATCAATCTTAAATATTTTCATCCGATCTATAATCAACTTTTTAAGACAATTATAGCATCTTTGTACAATTTTTACCAGACATTATAAACAAAGTTTTCTTGACAACTTCATAAAAAGTTTACTTACAACAAAAGGAAGAAAGTGAAGAGCATAATGTGGAAATTTCGCTGTGCTCTAAACAACCTCATGTTACGCTGTAACTCTGTGCTCAATGTATCATGATCACTTACTTCTGTACTGGAGTACTTCCTCATTTCTCGAACTGCATCTGTTATTACATAATTAAATTAAATTTTATTTATTATATACACTACATAATAAATTATATCTTCAAACTGTTCTTTACATTTCTAAAATTTAAAACAGCAGTAAATATTTTCTTCTTTTGACAGACTGTTTGATTAAATTGTTCACTTTTCAAGGATGGTATTCCAAATAAACCTGTTGTCAAATATTTAATAGGCAAAATCACATCAAAACATTTGTTTGTGGTTTGACATTCTTCATATAATGAAACTGTTACTGTCATCAAATTATAATTGAAGAGTGTGATAATTAGATAATATATTACTGAAATTATTACATTAAATATAAAAAATCATATATAAAATGCTGGGTAGTGTTATATATTTTTTTTTATATAAATATACATATATATATATATATATATATATATAGTTTGTTGATAAATGTTTCAATCTTGCCCAATCTTTCCTTGTGTTGTCATTCCTTAAAACTGGTTATATAAATGTACAGCAACACTTGATCTGGATTTTCTAACACTTCCAATCACTTATTAAACACAAAATTTGAGATCACCCAAACCTGAATAATGGTAGACAATCTTGATGAATTTCTTTGAAATACATGGTTATAGGTTGTTTAATAGCAATAGAGTACTTAAAAAAGAGGGGGAAAATGTTGTTTTATATGCAAAATGCAAGTTATATCCTGTTTAAGTTAAATATAGCAAACTAAAGGCAATGGGGTTGAATCTCTTTCGATTCTGTTAGCAGTTATAAGGGTAGAAGACTATTAGTTGGAATTTGTTACAGACCATTATATGAAACTGATGAAATTAATAAGAAACCTATAGTGAGATAAAGAATTTAGCTACTGAGTTTATAATTATGGGAGATTTTAATTTCAGACATATAGATTTGAAATATTAGAGTCAAATCATGAAAAAGACAGATTATAGAAACTGTTCAAGATGGTTTATTTAACCAATTGATAAGGGAACCTACAAGGACAAATGCTGTCTTAGATGTATTGTTAACTTCCAATTCTAAAATAGTTGATAGGGTGGAGATTGGGACACATCTACCCAATTGTAATCTTCCCTCAGTTAGATTATATGTTTTGCTGAACATGGAGATAATGAAAAATGAGATACTGGTTTCAAATTTCAAGAAAAGAAATTTTGAAGGGTTGAGATCAGAATTATCTGCTACGAATTGGACAACTGAATTAATTGGAGATATTAAGCAAGTGTAGATAATGTTTAAAAATATACTCTAAAATATTCAAGATAGGCATGTTTCGTATAGAAAAAAAGGGTGGACGCAAGTAAAATACCAGGTTGGTTCACAAAAGTTATGGTGGATAAAATTTAAGAAAAGCAATATAGGAAGTCTAAATGGATTGCAATGATAGGAGACTTGGAGGATTATAGAAGATCAATAGAGTTGGCCAAATGAGAAATAAGGAAATCAAAACCTATACGAAAAAAGGTTGGCTGAAAATGTAAAAATTAATAGTAAGAGTTATTCTTTTAAATTAAACTAAGGGTAAACAATATATTCGGACTGGAGTAGTGCCTTTGAGGGATAATACAGGAAGGCTAATTTCTAGTGCTTACAAAATAGCTGGGTTATTAAATACAACTTTTTCTTCAATTTTTCAATAAAGAAGATTTAAGAAATATTCCATATCCTGAACAGTTGATAGACAGAAACAATATTGAACAAGATGATCACATTAATTCTGAGCTGGTCAAGAAAACATTGGGAAGTTTAATGAATGATAAAGCTCCTGGGACAGATAATATTTCCACAAGGATTTGAAAGGAGGTTAAGGATTAAATATGTGAGCCACTTGCTACTATTTTTTTCTAAGTGAATAATGAGAAGGTGCAAGAAGACTGGAACTTGGCTAAAGTTATTCCTCTTTTCAAGGTAGGTGATAAAATTGTCCCAGTAATCATAGGCCTATTACTCCTACATTTGCGACAAGAAAAGTTTCTTAAAGTTTGATAAAAAATGCTTTGCAAAGTTATTCAATAAAGTTTAAAATTTTATTGAAAACTCAGTATGATTTTACAACAGAAAAATCTTCCTTTACTAATCTTTTGACATTTGTTCAAGAGATTACTGATGTGGATTTCATGAATATGGATTTTTCAGAAAGCATATGACTGTTCCACATAAAAAGTTTGTTAAAAACGTTATGTCTGTAGGTGTGGTGGATTGTTTGGCTCATTGGATAAAAAACTGGCTGGATGAAAGAAAACACAGGGTTGTTATAAACGGAGTTCAATCAAACTGGATTAATATAATCAGTATTAGGACCTTTGTTCTTTCTGATTTACATCAATGATAAAGATGAAGAAATGGTCAATAAATTATTTAAATTTGCTGATGTTTTAGATGTTGCTGGCTATAAGGAGGATGCTGCTGGTTTAAACGATTTGGATTATTTGGTAAGTTAGGCAAATAAATGCCAGATGACTTTTAACTAAAATAAATGCACTGCATGTGGGATAACACAATCTGAATTATGAGTACAATTTTGATAAGAATAACCTTAACAGTGTTATGGAAGAAAATACCTTGGTGTTTTGGTTGATCAGTCTTTTGAGCTATTCAAGCAATGTTTGATTGTTAGTGGCAGGACAAGTGAGATTTTGGGTTGCATATACAAAACTATGGAATACAAGTCTAAAGAGGTTATAATGTTATTGTATAGGTCACTAGTTAGGCCACATTTGAAGTATTGTGTTTTGTCTTGAGCTCCTTACTTTAGGAAGGATTGTTGGAAAGGGTTCAGGAGAGGGTTACTACAATATCTGGGATGAAAAAGATGTCATACAAGGAGAGGTTATGATCTCAGAAACTGTTTTCACTTGAAAGAAGAAGAGTTAGAAGAGATCTGATTAGGGTGTTTAAGGTTTTTAAGGGAACTGACAGTGTTGATTCATCATTATCTGTTTTTTCATATTTATGGTGAGAATGGTAAGACTAGGGACACAAGAATAAATCATGGTATGGTAGGAGCTATATTCAGCTAAGACAGCATTATTTTTCTAGCAGGATGGTTAGCCTTTGGTTTTTATTTGTTTGTTGATTAATACACAGGTACACGGTGGGATCTCTGTGCTGTGCCCACCATGGGTATCAAAACCTGATTTTTAACACTTATAAGCCCACTGACTGCTGAGCCACTGAAGGGTAGATTGGCCTTCAGAATGGGTAACCTTTAGATATAGTAGATGTAGTTCATTTAAGGGAAGGCTTTGAGTGTCATATTTTTATATCAGAAATCAATATAGTGAAAGCTAGAAGACCAACAGGTTCCTTCTTGTTCTTAAATTATCTTTAAGTGTGTATTAATAAAGAACAACACTAAATTTGCATTTGTTTTTTTAACCAGACAGTAACAGAACTAGATGTTCTTTCTTATGTCACTAAAATCTGATATCTTAGATTAATATGCAAGTATGCTACATAAAATTCAAACCATAAATTCAACTTTGTGACATACAAAAACTTTCTTTACATACTTACCAAAGAAACAAATTAAGTGAAAAAAAAATAGGATTCCAAAATAAATATTAATACGTTCCCTAATCAGTCGAAAAAGTCTAGATTTCAGAATTCGGGCCCATCTGAAAAAAAAAGAACCAAAAACCTGATAATACATACAATTAGACATTATTTCAGATTCTTTTTGGAATAAAAGCTGTGAACTAATGTGTAAAACATCTAGACATGTTATCTATTTAAGCTTAAACTGTTACAGATTTTTTGTTTCTGTAATACAGAATTGTTATATCTACATATATATTTACATCTTTATTTTGTGTTTGAAGACACATTTTTTTACACAATTATACAACCAGAGTAGATTTCTTTGAATTTTTCAACAATGTTATTTGTTGTTGTTTCTTTTTTCACTCTCAATTAATCACATTGATCTTCCTGCATCTTTCTGGTGATCTTCATGTCCCTTGTAGCTACAGGTGGCTTTTCACTTAACTTTCTTACTAAATTATACTAAATAGAGTGGGGGTCATAAAGACCTCAAACTGTTTTTAAAAATCTATAATTTGTTTAATAAAATCATAAATTATTGTATTCAGAAGCTCCCACTAACGTATAAGAATACAAAAAATCAATGTTACTAAAAAATATTAAAAATAAATTGCCTGCAGTCATATAGATTTCACCCTACTTATCAAGGATTAATCAGGCTAATTTGAATAATTCCTATCAAAATTGCCCATTTCTCTATAAAAAAAAATCTATACTGTTATTATTAAGTTCTAAATGTTTCATCAGTGTATTTTTCCTATTCAATACACTATTGCATTCAGATGTCAAACTACAGTTTCAAAACAATGTGTAATGTAAAAAACATCTACCTAATAAATATTAAGTGCATTTATATATACTTTTTTTTAAATTACAGAGGTTCAGAAAAACTGACTAAACCTGCTCAAAGATTCATAAAATTTGCCCCAAATATAGTTTTCCATTTAAAAATGTGAGCCTAAATTGAAATTAAATTTTTTGAAGTTCTGGTTTAAACCATTTCATATAAATTTTAAGCCACATAAGAGCTCTGAATGGGAAACGGTTGGTTAAAAATACAATACATTTTGGAACAACA